AGACGAAAAACATCTTCCTCTATTTCTTTACCGAGCTCAAAACTTACCATCTCTCTTATTCTATCATTTAGTTTTATTAAGTTTTCTCTCCTCACTCGTAATCCTTATTTTTTACAGCGGTCTTTCGAGGAGCGTAGGCGGGGTGATGCACGGAAAAGATGGATGACCATGATTGATGCCGCTGCTCAGACTGGCGGAGCGCAACTCGATCCGGTCTATCGTGCGGTGTACCATGTACTCTTCAAAGACGCGGATGAGCATGGAAAAGGGAAAATATTGAGTTCTTCAGTGAGTATGCTTGAAAACAACGACGACCCGAGCCAAATGCACCGCGGTGAGACAATTTTACGATACATGTCCAGCACAGTGGATGACATTCCATACGTTGTGGGCAAAGTTTTGTATAGAGACATGAAGACAGTTTCTTGGGCTGCAGTGGACTCTGGGAAGCCTATCCACGTCCCTAAGGTGTCAACTCACTCTGGAGTGACGATGTGGAATCCTACCCGGAGAGAAGAGGTAAGAGTTATGCGAGTGAGATCGCAGCAAAGAATTTCCAAAAGATATCATTAAATTTTTCCTCGTTTCCTTTGTTTTGATTGTACTGAAGAAGATTCCAATGCTGCAAAAATTACCGGAGGACATTTTTCTCTTGCAACAGAATATATCTTACAGTTACGTAGTAAGTAAGACGGCTAAAATCTCTTATTTCTACAATTCCGTTTTCTTGCGGGATTAATGCGGGCAATCCCGAGCCCTTCTTATGATGGAAGCTTGGCTGACCTTTGCGGAACCTGGCACCAAATCTGTTCAACAGGTTGCAGTGAAGTAGCGCAGATATTAATAACGGGTATGCCTTTGGTCGTGGTAGGACTGGATAGTTGACCTAACGGGGGGTCTGTGGTTTGTATTGGTGTTCTTGATGCTGTGGTTGAGATGAAAATGGGTACTAGTTAATCAGTGTTAATTAATGATACTTTTTTTTCCAGGGAGGAGACGGTTCGTTTATTGCACTGCCACTAAAGGATCATGAACGGCGAGTGATCGGTATCCTGGGTATAGACACCTTAGCGGACCCTCATAAACCAGTATTCATCACACATGAGATCAGCTTCTTCCAAGGTGTAGCCAAAGCCTTGAGTCAGGCCATACAGTTTGTTGATATTCGTCGGAAAACACTCAGAGTTGCCGAGTCAGCAGTGTCTTGGATCTTGCGACGGAGTCCTAATGTGCAGAATGTCAATGTTTACTTAGTGGAACCCGGATTAAAGGTATCTATTCTTTTTTTTAAGTGTTGTTGTCGGGCCTTTGGTCAGTGGGGAAGGAGACTTTTCCTCTGTTTTTGTTTCCTTCCCTCTGTTGGTCTAATGGCAGGAGAAAAAATTTTTTTTAGGCCTTTACCATGTTGTAGTCGTTGTTTCATTTTCATTTTCATTTTCCTCACTGTTCGTCATCAGCCATCTGACGGTTTGGTCCTCCGCCGAATGAGGACGCTGGCCCATAACGGGTTCAGCCAGCACTATACAAGTCCGCCAAGGCTGGACAGAAGAGATAACCTGTTCAGGTAAGAAGTAGAACTTCTCTTTAAGGTGATTCCTCAGAAAAAATTTTCGAAAACTACAATAAAAAAGGTAGGGCACAGTACAGGTTTAGGAGATACAATTGACCAAACTTACTCCAGTTATGCCTGTACTGGCACTAATCACGCGCGTCATTTTATCGGTTCATGGTACATTTTGCTGCAGCTGGAAGCAAGGGTTTTTAAAGTAACACTTGAAAAAAATCTTTATAAGTAGAAAGTCTCTAGCGTATGGAACAATTTGATATGTAATTTGTGGGAAAATCACGAAAATTTAAACAACATCGACTCAAAATGTTTCTCGAGTCGTCCCTTTTTAAGGTCATAATTTGCATCTTCGAGTAACGGGCTTCGTGCACGCTTTTGTATAAGGTGGCGCTTATCGCACTCTTCATAGATAACAGTTACCAGCCTGTGATGCATATTTTGTGTCATATATCAGGGACTATTTGTTTAAATGTGTGGAGAGCTCAGAGACCATCACTGCAGACGCGTATGGAGAGCGTCACATGGCTTTTCCCCTCAGAGATGGGGAAGGGAGAGCTGTTGCCGTAGTTGACATAAGTATCGGTGAACTTAGAGCACTTCCACCGCACGAGAACAAGGAAATACAACGCATGCTCAAACTGCTGGCCAAGGCACACAGGGAGGTGGCTCGAGAAATCACCAGTGGAGCGGCAGAGAAACACATCGTGTTGGGTAAGTTGAATTACCTTTGAAATAGCTTTGCATGGGCTTTTTTGGAAATTTTCTCTTAACCCTTTACATCCCAAAAATTAATATTCGTATTCTTCACTCTGATCTTTGTATATTTACATTTCCTGTGGTAGGAGGAGAATTTGTTTGACAATCAAGGGCTTCTTAAATTGATGATAATTTCCTTTATTCTCATGACCTTTGCATTTGATTCAAGGATGATAATGTAAGGAGAAATTAGAAGCAAATCACATTTATGAGTGAAAGGGTTAGTTAGAGGTGGGGTGGTAATTCTTATTGCTTCCATACTTTGCATAATGTTGACGTGAAAACCTCGACTACTCTTGCTATTTTTGGTAGGACAACTAGAATTAGGACTTTAACGGGGATTTTGTGTAAACGACGGTAATGTCTGAACACGTTCGTGTTCCAAGTAGAAAAGGTAGTTAGCATTTGATTCTTTCGATTCCTTCTGTAGAGGTGGAAAAAGAGTACGAGGACGCCCGTATTGATGTTTTGTTTGACCGACTGATGCTGTTGGACCTGAGAGAGAACGTGGGAAGACTGGACGCCAGGTACATTTAAGGGTGATCTACAGAAATAGTCAGAATTGTAGAGATTAATACCTCATTCACAACAGCAAAACATGTTTAGTTTATCCAGGTTTAACTGAATGAAAATCCGAAACAGAGAACTAAAAACTAAATATTCCAAAGATTTCAAATGGTCACCAAATTTTATTTTCAGCCCGCTGAATTTGAAGCCGGCAAAGCCCCTATAGAGAAAACAAATTTCAGTGAACCGTGTTCAACAAAGCAGCTTTGAAATATGTTCAGGCTTTGGTGTGAACGGGGAATAAGACACCCCCAAATCAGCGATTGCGGCTCGGTGGTTATAAGACTCTGATTTCCTCCAAAAGCCCAGTGACAAGTAAGCATGTACGAACTGTATCGAGCTCACTTACACTGACTCAGAAAAGGCAAATGGGCATGGAGATCACTATTTCTCAGCGAAACATTTTTAGTTTTAAGTACCAACACTGACCAACCGACTCTCAAAAGAAAAGGCCTTGTTTTAAACTCGAATGCCCCATCCCCTCCCCTCAAGTATCAACTCCTTAGGGGTAGTGGGTATTGGTTTCGCGTATGGAATATCTCATTTAAATAATTTTTTGATCCCAAGAAATGAAAAAAATATAAATCTGTTGGATCAATGTTAGAATTTGAGCAACTGCACACCAACCCCTCCCCTAACCTTACATTAACCCTAGCTTGTTATCAGTTGATTTTTGTAGGGTTAGGGAAGGGGTAGGTTGGATACATTGATCCAATCTGTTCATTAAATCGGCGCGAAGCACCAAATACGTCAGGTCTTCTGCGATCGCCCTCACCGTGTTATGACAGGTTCCAAGCTTGGATTCTTTCTGTATAAATTTTTTTTTTGTCAGCTGTGTGATAGTCGCTGTGTTGGTTCTTCACTTTGTCGCCTTATTTTAATCCTCAGGGCTTTCGCCGAGATCAAGAGCTACAAGGATCCGCCCAAAGTGATTCACGATATTCTGAAGGCAGTTTTAGGCATCTTCCATCCGGATTTGGAGAAGCAGGACAAGTTTAACGAGTGGAGCATGTGCAAACAAATGGTCAACCCAGATCTAGTTCGTCTGATTACATCCTACGATCCTACAGCGAGGGCAAACACTGTTAGCGTGGATGCGAAATCTTTAGCTGGAAAACTACAGGGTAAGTGTTTCAATCAGAGCTAAGGAAAATATCACAAGGAGCCAACGATAGCTCAATATGAAATAATGTCAAAAGCGAGCGACTAAGTCGCGCTTGATTTTAAAGTTGGATTTTTTTTGACGCGCGGGTTTTTTTTTTAGCCCTTTTAACTCCAAAGATCTAATTGTTAATTCTCCCTTTTAGTTGCTACACAGTTCCTTGTAAAGTAGGTGTGAGAATTTGGTGGTAGATCAAGATAAAAACGTAGAAGTTACCGTGACAGGTTAATCATTTCTGGGAGTTGAAGGGTTAAACCAACCACAGATGGAAGTAAAGCAAAACCGGTGCAATCCCGAGTTGCTTTCGACAGCCAATTGAAAATTGCTATTCTCTTTCTATTTGGTGCAACTCTTCCCTGAAAAATTGTTATTTTAGGGTTATGGTCGAATTGACGACATTTTTATCGACCACAATTTCCAGTTTCTGTGGGAAAGCAGCCCTCTTTTCTAAATGCATTGGTTCTAGGGAGTGTCAACTAATGCATTTCTGTAACTTTTTTGACTTTCAGATGTGCCTCAAGGTGCTGTGGCAAAGCACGGTTCATTACCAGCTCAGTATCTGTTCAATTGGGCTTTCGTTTGCTTGTCTCTGATTGAACACACGGAGAAGATGTGCGAAACACGTCCGGGAAAAGTTGTGAGCCCGCAGGCCAAGAGCGAAGTGGTCACCGATGTCGGAAAGGGAAGGCCCTCGCCCCAGGACACATGGACGCGTTCGGAAACGACCGAGTAATTTTCTCTTGATGAATCTAGATAGTAATGTTTTAGGGTTAAAAGTCCATCATACATTTACTACGTAAAGGTATTCTAACTGAATACAATCGAGAATAGAGAAGATATACAATGATTACGAGTGTAGAACTTGGAAATTAGACGTAATTTCTTTTTAAGCTCCATAAACGGTTGCATGATCTTAGATTCCAAGCTTTCATTTTGAGCAGCGCTGCCTTAACGGAGAGAGCTGTGGAGAAAGTTAACAGGTCTGACTTAGAGTTCCTACAAGGAAGTTTACTTCATTTTTGCAAAATTTGTTCTCGTTCACGGTTAGTGATGAACTGGCAATGGGCGACAGTTAGATCACAACAACAACAACAAGAATAACGAGATCGGCGACAAAAACAACAGCAACAAAAAGAAAAATAACTATTACAGCAATAAACAACGACTAAAACAAAAAGAAATGGGAAAAAGGACTATTGAGCTTTTTTTCGTATGGAAAACGTATACTTAGTCTTGTTAATTAAAAAAAATTCTCCCGTAGCAGACGGCTAAGTTTGTGGTTGATACTCAAACAGCTTTCGCCCGTACGTCCTTTACTTGATTCCCTTTTGCCATTGCTCTAGAACTATTTATTTTAAAGGAGAGTACATTTATCAAGTTTTGTACATACTATATATGTATATATATTTTTTAGCTATCACAGACAGTTTTTATTTCTGTCCATTTTTGTATCAAGAGCTTGTTTAGTGTGGAACGAGCAACTATTTTTCTAGGGAGTTTAATGTTTGTAAAATTTTAAAGACTTTTTCACGCGTGTTGATGCACGGTTTGACCAAGGTGCGAGTTTCCAAATAAAAATGATTTAAAATGACTCATTTTTCGTGATTTGCATTTTTATGTACCTTTTATGATTAAAGGGGGTAAGTTTCTGAAGAAATTGTGGTGCGTCGGTGGTGACGAAGGGCTAACGCTCGAAACGTCAGCTTTACAAACTCTTATGATGGCCGATTTACATTTAAAATTTTACATTTATCCTTATTTACAGTGGATAAAACCAAATTATCCATGTGTACCTTAATTACCCATGAATACCAGCTATTTGATGTAATTTTTTCACATGGCTTTTAGGTATTGAAAGGTCCAGTCCCGTTTCCAGTTAGGACTTAAACGTCAGGTTTCAAGCCCACCGTGGTAGCGGTTAGCGGTGCAAGTTAAAAAATTACCGACGACCCTTTTCGCGTTCCTCAGGCAAATTAACATTCATAGTTAAGTCAGTGTGTATATCTGAATGAATTTCTTAATACAGGTTCTATTCATAGATAAAGCCCATGTGGCTCTCGGCAAAACTTGATCATTCCAATACCACCCAAAAGAGTCTTCGGTAGAGTTGCTCTTACTTGGAACAGTCGTGACGAAGCAGGCCACTATTTAGTGCAAGATATTTCTGAATGAAGTCTTTAAGTGATGATAATTATAGTGTTGTTTTATCAATTTTAGGTTTAGTGCACGGCTCTTTGGGAGAGCACTTCTCAATGACGATGGATACCGTGGATAAATAAAATTCTTATTTACTCATTCATTTACATTCGTACAGTCAGTCACTTTCAAGTTTTCAGATTTGACGGTTATCTAGTCAGCGGTTGTTCCCTATGTCATGTAAGGAGAACAGTTCACGTGCGAAAAGTAAAGTATCGATCGACTTGTAGTATTTTGGAAGAGTGTATTCTTTTATTTTCGCCATGGGTATCCTCGAAAAAATCGCCGAAATAGAAAATGAGGTATTTCTTTGTTTTATTTCCCCCTCAACTTTTTCATGATGGTGTTATTTCATGGGATATTTTGGTCAATTACAGATGGCACGAACGCAGAAGAACAAGGCAACAGCCCACCATCTTGGATTGTTGAAAGCTCGATTAGCGAAATTACGGAGGGAACTCATCACACCAAAAGGCGGAGGGGGAGCAACAGGGGAAGGTTAGTGTTACGTTTAATATTTCAAACAGCTGTTAAGATGTTTGTTCTTGAGTTGTAGCAAATTTCTTGGTAATTACGTGGTAACACCGGTACCCTTAAATATTAAATAATATTTCATATACCAGAAGAAAGCCTATCTTGTCTGTTGATTGATCGAGTTACAGTGCTAAAATTGATATATAGAGAAAATGCGTTGTGACAATGTTTTAAGAGGAACATGATGTTTCTCTCTGAGGACTCAGATTGTTGTTTCGGTCCAAAAGCGACGATTTTGTCACCTACGTATTCCACGCTGCCATTTATATAATTATGTGGCAAGATTTTCATGTAACCCCATACTTTATCACGGTCATACTTATTCAATAAAAGAAAACAACAGCAAAAACCGTGGTTTGCTGCTGGGAGTAAGGGTTTTTTAAGAATAGCATTGGGTTGTATGAAAATCTCAATATATTTGTTACCACCTTAAGAAAAGAAAAACATGCAATAGAGGAAAACAAAGTACCCCTGAATGACCTGCAAAGTTCTAGTTAATATTTGGGGTGTACTTTATTATAAAAAAATATTAAATTGCTGGTTGTCTCTCAATTGGGAACTCATTTTGTTTAAATTTATTTTGTGTGAATTTCTCACTATTTACAGTACACTAGTAGGACAAAAAGTATGTCTGGTTTTGTAGGTTTTGATGTGGCAAAGACTGGTGATGCTAGAATTGGCTTTGTTGGTAAGTTGCATGTACCTTTGTGGTACCTTGATTAAATACATGTACAAGAAACACAACAGTAATAATTGGTGCTCTTTTTTGTAGTGCATTTTGATGGAGATTTTCATTACTGTAGAATTTATAAAAGAGAATTGTACTCCCAAAGTCATATTTTTATATATTGAAAATTTTACAGATACTTAACGGTAGTAAAGCTGAAAACCACATTGTGTTAGTAGCATACCTCTTCCTCAAAAATGTTAGCAATGTTACTGGACAAAAAGTTTAAAATTTTTATTTCATTTCAGCTGTTTGGCAAAGCTTACCTGAGATGACTTGTTTTTTCAGACTTTGATGTAAATTGGTGAAAAGGAAGCAAGAATGAGTTTCTGGTTTGTTGAAATTGAGATGGATTTTTTCCTCTGTAGGGTTTCCATCTGTTGGAAAGTCAACTCTTTTGACCACTCTGGCAGGCGTCTACTCAGAAGTTGCTGCTTATGAATTCACCACCCTTACCACTGTTCCTGGTGTGATTCGGTATAAAGGAGCTAAAATTCAACTCCTTGATTTGCCAGGAATTATTGAGGGGGCCAAGGATGGCAAAGGAAGAGGTCGTCAAGTTATCGCAGGTGTGGTGATGTGTTCTGCATTGATCAACTTTATTTCAATTGATATGAGGGTTCTTGATAGAATGTGAAGTAGGTTTAAGTAAAGAGTGAACAAAATTTAAGTAGCTATAAATCCTGGAGAAGACATAGTTAACAAAATAACAGAAATTTTTCTATTGATATCCCTCTTTTATTTGATGGAAACTTCTCTGATATTTGGTCATCAGATTTGAATTTAACTTGTCCAAAAGTCTCAGAGAAAATCTTGCCTATGCTGTAAATGTGGATTAAGAACATATACATGTAAGGAAAGACACAAAGCTGGATTCTGTTTGACATTAATTAACAAATTGGTGTGGCTGTTGTTTGTTGTCTGGACAAAGTGATGTTACATATTATTTGGGTTAAGAAATGTGATGTTGTAATGCCAGTTTTTCTGTTGGTACTATTCTTGCAGTTGCCAGGACATGCAGCCTGATTTTTATAGTACTAGATGTGCTAAAGCCCCTGGGACACAAGCGACTCATTGAACATGAATTGGAAGGATTTGGTATAAGGTAAAGATTGTTGTGATTAAACTTCCAGCCCCCATGCCCATAGAATAAAACCTCTCTTTGACATCAGCTCTTAGGCAACAACAACTTTATCAATTAATCAAAACTATAAGAAATTTTTGAATGTGAATGGTTATCACCAGCCCGATTTGGGTACTAATAGCACAGTGCACACATACTTGCAATTGGACAGTGTAATAGGACAGTTGTAATGTCATACCCGTGTAAGTGGACAGTACTTTCATGAGCTGGCAAAGTTGTTGTGCATTTTGCTGAATAATTGTTGTTGTTGTTTTTCATGAAAACATATCAGTGATGTCTACTTTCTCTCTCAAATTTGTTGTAGTTTTGATAAATTGGTAACAGGATTTTGTGTTCTCCAATTCTGCCTGTAATCATACACGCAATAAACAAATCAGACTCCAGCTTCATGGTCATCCGATTTTGTTAATCACACATATGATTACAAACCAAATTGGACTCCACTTAGTGCTATTACTATTATTAATTAAAAGTAGATAAATTAGAACCAAGTGGAAAAAGAAAGGTCTATGTGAAAAAATAGTGAAATACAGTCAAACTTGTGTTAAGTGGCAGTGTATCAAGAAGTCACCCTGTGTAAAATGGTCAGTCACCCTGTATAAAGTGGTCAGTCACCCTGTATAAAGTCCCAAATATGTTTCCTCTTAATCACTGTAATTTTCACTTCTGATGGGTGGTTACATCTGTTAAGCAGTAGCAGTCACCCTTTACTAAGTCATTAAAAACCTTTTTTTTGTTGTCCTCCACCTGTATTGAGTGGTCACTGAAAGCAGGAACATTCCAATGAAATTAAGAATAATCTTTCAAGTTATTTTTGATCCATGTTTCTCTCCCAAAATTAAAGTAAGTTGTATCTTTGAGTGAGATTCTGTTCATTAAGTGTTCAATTATGCTATGGAGCTGTGCTTTCTATTGTTTTATTTAATATCCCTAATCTGTGGAACCTTTATTAAGGGGTCAATCTGTATGAAGCAGTCACCTGCCATTCCCCTTGGGTGACTGAATACAGAATTCAGGATGTCATTTGATCTATTGGGATTTGATCAGGTCCTCTATGAGAAATCCTCTCTTTCTTCTAGTAAAGAGCTGGTCCCCTAACTTTAATACCTAAAAAAATATAGTTGTATTATTAATTGCCATGTTAGTGGAACAGTTGTTCAGGTATCATTAAATTATTCAGTTGGTGTTATTTGTTTTGGGCAGGCTGAATAAGGAACCACCAAACATAACATTCAGAAAGAAAGAAAAGGGTGGAATCAACCTGCAAACCACAGTATGTATAGAGACACAAAACTTATAATCCCACAGGGGAAATTTAGTGAAATGAAAGGCTTATATGTACATCTTAAATACTCTAATTTGGAAAAAGTGCAATCACAATAAGGTCTAGGTTTTTTCTTTTGAATAGCAAGTCAGTAGTTTATTGGGGACAAATGATTAACTCCTTGCACCCTAATACTAGTATGCATATTCTCCATACTGTTCTCTGTACAATTTCTAAGGTATTGAGATGAAGAATTTGTTTAATTTATAATCAAGAGCTTCTTTAGTTGGTGATCATTCCCTTTATCCTCCTGACCTTGATGTTTGATTTAGGGGTGAAACTGTAAGGAGAAACTAGATACTAGTCACAGTAAGGGGTTTAAGGGTTAAGAGAATGGAAAAATCTCACTGATGAGGATTTAAAACAAAGTCTTTTGCTGTGTTTATGTTGTGTTTTGATCTCTCATTGAATCCAAAAAATGTGAAGTGGTATTTTTAAACTCTATTACAGTGCACCCAGTCTGAGCTGGACATTGATTCGGTGAGATCCATCTTGAGTGAATACCGCATTGCTAATGCTGACATAACCCTGAGATATGATGCCAATGCAGATGATCTCATTGATGTCATTGAAGGAAACAGGTACAGGAAAACAGAACTCAAAAATCTTTATCTGTATACATGACTATTATTCTCTATTGTTAATTAAACAGAGATCAAGTTCCTTCCTGGGTTATTATACTTAGAGCAGTAGTGAAAAGAGGAATTTTTTTCAACATTGTTTGATTTAAATTACTGATTCTTCTTTTTTAATTTCAGGGTTTACATTCCTTGCATCTATATTCTGAACAAAATTGATCAAATTTCAATAGAAGAATTAGATTTGATCTACCGCATACCACACGCAGTTCCATTATCAGCTCACCATAAGTGGAACTTTGATGACTTGCTAGAAAAAACTTGGGAATACCTCAGTCTTATAAGAATGTGAGTGGCACCAGAGTTAGTTTTTGAAACAATCTTTCAATGTACTTCCTAATAGAATGCTGGAACAGCTACTTAACTGAACTAGATATTGATTTCTCAAACAAGTCTTGTAAACCACCAGGGTCACCAAATGCAAACATCAACACAGAGTCATGGCAAAA